AGGGGAGGGGTTTACACCTCTCCCCGAAGCGAAGAGGGCCTGTGGGAGAGGAAAAACAGAACTCTGTAGACCACATACACCCAGAGAGCTGATGGGATCTACGATGACGAGACAAAAGGATCGAGGGAGTGGAACTTCGAGGTTGGGAGGGGCCCGCAAAAGTGTTGAAAGCACCTAGAAGTCATGCCGCCTGTGAGCCGCAAAATTTGAAGCCGATGATCCTCCATGCGCCAGCTGCTGCGAGTACTTCGGTAGAGACTTTGTTGTGGCCCTGGGGCAGCTGCACTGTTGCAGCTTGCGTGCGGACTGTCTGGGGGCATGCCTGTCAGACGCCACGGCCGGCGTCGGCAGAACTTGCCTGAGATATTGGTAGTCTCCACTTGGAATCAAAAAAATGACCGTCCACGACGGCGTCGCAGGAATCCTCGGGATTCCCGCTGGATTCCCGCATGAGTCCCCCAGGACTCCTCATGATTCTTCTAAAGTTCCCTCCGGATGTCTCGCCTTGTGGCATATCCCCCGGGTTCCCCCCAGGTTTCTTATAATTTCTGTCAGGATTTGCGCTTGAACCCTGAGGATTCCCCAATTCAAAACCTTTAGAATCCCCCCCAACTCCCTTGTAGAATCTTCCCCAACTCCCAAACCCTCCCCACCTCTCATACTCTTTCCTTTGTCGAATCCTCCCCGATTCCCACATCCTTCCAAGCTCCTGCATTCTCCGTTGTAGAATCCTCCCCAACTCCCAAATGCGTCCCAACTCTTGCTTTTCCTTTGTAGAACCCTCCCCAACTCCCAACTCTTCCCCGCCGCCTGCTTCTTCTTTAGAACCTCCCATATCCCGACTCCTCCCCTACTCCTGCTTATTCTTTTGGCGAATCTCCCCCAACCCCGAAACCCTCCCCAAATCATGTTTCTTCCTCCGTGGGATCCTCCCCAACTCTTGCTTCTTCCGTTTGTAGAACACGTCCCCCAACCCCCAAATCCTCTTCAACTCCTGCTTTTCCCGATTTATAAAACCCTCCCCAAGTCCCACAGTCTCCCCAGCTCTTAGCTTCTCTGTTGTAGAATCTTCCCCAGCTCCCGAATCATCCCCAACTCTTGCGTTCTCCTCTGTAGAATCCTCCCCAACTCCCAGATCCTCCCCACCTCCTGTTTTTTCCGTTGTAGAATCCTCACTAATTCCCAACTCCCCCCCCAAACTCCTACTTGTTTCTCTGCCGAACCCTCTCCTGCTTGCAAATCCTCCCGAACTGATGTCTTCTCCTTTGTAGAACCCTGGCCGCTTCCCAAAACACCCTCGACTCCGGCGTTTTTCGTTGTACAATCTTCCCCAAGCCCTAAATCCTCCCCAATTCGCGCTTCTTCGCCGACGAATCCTCCACAATTCCCAAATCCGTCCGAACTCTTGCCTGGCTCCTCAGTAGAAAGCCCCTAATTTCCTCAATCCTCCCCAACTCCTATTGTTTTCCTCTATGGACTCTTCCCCAATTCCCAAACCCTCCCCAACTCCCAAATCCTCCCCATCTCATTTTTTTCCTGCGCAGCAGCATCCCCAACTCCCCAATCCTTCCCAACTCCTGCTTGCTCCTCTGTCGAATCTTCCCCAACCCCCAAATCCGTCCCAACTCCTGTTTCTCCTCTGTAGAATCCTTCCCGTCGCCCAAATCCTCCCCAAGTCCTGCAGTCCTGCCTTCTCCTGTGTTGAATCATCTCCAACTCCGATTTTCCTCAGTTGTAGAATCCTCCCAAACTCCTGTTTTTTCTCTGCCGAACTCTTCCAAACTCCCAGGGCTTCCCCAACTCCTGTGTTGTTATTCTTGTGTAGAACCCCCCAACTCAACGTCTCCCCAACTCTTGCTTTTTCCCATGTAAAACCTTTAAATGCCCACATCCTCCCCGACTCCTGTTTTTGTCCCCGCTGTAGAATCCTCCCCAACTCGGATGTCATCCCAGCATCCTGCTTTTCTCGTTGCAGTATCCTACCCAACTCTTATCTTCTCTTTCGTAGAATCCTCTCCGATGCCCACCTCCTCCCAAAAATCTCCTCTTGCCTTGTAGAACCCCCACCAACACAAATATCCTCCCCAACTCTTGCTTTCTCCCTTGCAGAACCCTTCCCAACTCCCAAATGCTTCCTAACTCTTGCTTTCTTCATTTGCAGAACCCCACACATACATCTCCGAAATCCTCCCCAACTCCTGCGTTTTCCTTTTCTGCCGAATCCTCCGCAACCCCCAGATCCTCCCCAACTCATGGTTTGTCCGTTGTGGGATTTTCCCCAACCCCCAAATCCTCCCCAACGGACGCCTTCCGTTCTAGAATCCCCCCCAATTTCCAAATCCTCACCGATTCCTGTTTCTTCCTATGTAGAATCATCCCCGGCTCGTGCTTTCTCCTCTGTAGAGTCCCACCCAAATCCCAAATCCTCCCCAACTCTCGCTTCTTAAATGTGCCGAGCCCCCAACCCTCAGATCCTCCCCAACTCACGTTTTTTCCTTCGTAGAATCCTCCTCAACTCTTGTTTTGTTTGTAGATCGCTTAATCCCCATATCTCCACCAACTCTTGATATCTGCACTGCGGAATCCTCCCCAACTCCCACAGATGTTCCACATGTTGTTATCTCAGATGTACAGTCCTCACCATCTTCCATATCCTCCCCAACTCATGACTTCTCCTTGGTAGAAACCGCCCCAACTCTGAAATCCTTCACAACTCTTGTTTTGTCTTTTGAAAACCACCCACGCTTCCCAAAGCCTCACCACCGCCTGCGCTTTTCTGGCGTAGAATCCCCCGCACACGTTTCCACATAATTCCCAGTTCTTGCGTTTTCTTTTTGCAGAATCTTCACCAACTCCGAAGTCCTTACCAACTCCTGCGTTGGCCGTGTGTGGGATCCTCTCAAAATTTCAAATCCTCACCATCACCTGTCTTCTCCTTTGTAGGATCCTCCGCAAGTCCCCAGGTCCTCCCCAACTCTTGCTGCTCCTCCTGTAGAACCCTTTCAATTACCACATCCTCCCCAACTCCTGCTTGTGCCTTGGAGATTCCTCCTCAACTCACAAATCCTCCCCAAACGCATGCGTTTTTCCCATGTGGAATCCTCCCCAAACTTTTGCTTCTCCTTGTATAGAGTCCTCCCCAACCCCCAAATCCTCCCCAACTCTTGTTTGCTGCTCCGCAGAATCCTCCGCGACTCCCAAGTCCTCCCCAACTATTGTTGTTTTCCTTGCAGAACCCCCCCCCAGCTCCCAAACCTTCCCCATCTAATGAGTTATCCTGTGTAGAATCCTCCCCAAGTCCCACATCCTCCCCAACTCTTGCTTTTTCCTGTTTGTAGACTCCTCCACGCTTCCCAAATCTTCCCCAACTCACGCTTTTGTTTCCTTTTGTAGAACCCCCTTTCCAACTCCCAAATACGCCCAAACTTCTGCTTTTTCAGATCTAGAATCCTCCCCAAGTCCCACATCCTCCCCAACTCTTGTTTTGCTCCTTTGCAGAATCTTCCCCAACTCCCAACTCCTCCCCAATTCTTGTTTTCTCCTTCGTAAATCCCCCCAACTCCCAACTCCTCCCCAACCCGCCCCAATTCCCAAATCATCCTCACTTCTTGCGTTTTCATGTGTAGCATCCTCCCCAATTTCGACATCATTCCCAACGCCTGTCGAATCCTCCCCAACCCTCGAATCATCCCCAACTCCTGCGTTTTCCTTTGTCGAATCCTCGCCAACTCCCAAATCTTCCCAAACTCCTGTTTTTTTCTGTTGTAGAACCCCCAAAATCCCAAATCCTCCCCAACTCGCGCTTGATCCTTTCTGTCGAACCCGCCCCAGTTCCCAAATCATTATCAATTCTTGCGTTCTCATGTGTAGCCCATTACTTCCACATTCCCAACGCCTGCTTTTTCCAATGTCGAATCCTCCCCAACCCCCGAATCATTCCCAACTCCGGCATTTTCCTTTGTCGGATCCTCGCATACTCCCAAATCTTCCCCAACTCCTCTTTTTCCCTTCTGTAGAATCCCAAATCCCGCATTCGCCCTAACTCCTGCTTTTTCCTTTGTAGAATCCTTCCCAGTTCCCACATCCTCCCCAACTCCTGTGTTTCCCTTGTGCAATCCGTCCCGTCTCACACATCCTCCCCACTTCTTGCTGTTTCCCATGTCGGATCCTCCCCAATTGTTGCTGTCTCCTGTGTGGAATCCTTCTCGGTTCCCAAATACTCCCCAACTCTTGCTTCTTGCTTTGCAGAATCCTCCCCGACTCCCAAATCCTCCTCAACTCGTTTTTTCCCCTTGCTGAACCCTCCCCAATAGAATCCTCCCCAACTCCCAAATCCTCCCTAAGTTTTTGTTTTATCCCATGTAGAATCCTCCCCGAGTCCCACATCCTCCCCAGCTCCTGCGTTTCTCCTTCGTAGAATCCGCCCCCAATGCCCAGATCCTCCCCAACTCCTGTTTTTCCTTTGTTCCCCAACTCCTGGATCTTCCCCAACTATTGTTGCTGTGTCGAATCACCCCGAACCCCTACATCCTCCCCAACTCCTATTTTTTTCTTTCTGCCAATTCTTAAATCCTCCCCAACTCGTGCTTTGTTTGTAAAAAGTACCCCCAACTCCCAAATCCTTCCCTACTCTTGCTTGCTTCTGTGCGGAATCCCCCCCAACTCCCAAATCCTTCCCAACTCCTGAGAACCCTTCCTACTCCAAATCCCCCTTAGAAAATCCCATCCGTAAAGTCGCGCACGCCCATTACATTACCGGAAAAATGGTTTGGGAATTGATATTGTAACAGTGAATGCCTCAGCAGTAAGTGGAAGTGCCCTATATGGACAGGGGGAAGGATCCGGGTTAAGTGGGCTCCGCCCACTTAACAGAGTCACCAAACCCACCCGAGACACTCACGGCACTTGTGGCCCACTCATATTCTAGGCTACATCAGACATCACCCACCTTAGCATCCCCGCAGCAACTCCCGCGGTGATGTAAGCATCCCCTGCCCCAGGTCGGCCCAGCCCGGCTCCTGGACTGCTCGCCCGCTGCCGCGGCGGCCGCGGTGGCCGCGGCGGGCGCCGCGCCCGCGCTCGCCGCCGAGGTCGACGCCGCCGACGCCTACAACGCGAAGGTGTTGGAGGTCGTCGCCTATGGCGGGGTGCTGGCCGCGGTCGTGGGCTTCCTCGTGCAGCAGACCACGCCCAAAGACCGCCCCCCGTACATGTGACGGAGGCCTGCGAGGGGCCCCCGCACACCACCACCTGCCCAGGGCCAGGGTCACCGCTTCCCTGGCATCCGCCGATCTCCTGCCTTCGATGCAAGAGGTCTCAGGGCCCTTCCCTGGGGCAGTTTATAAACGGCTCCCGAGGGCCGAGGTCGACGAAAAGATGCAGGCTCGGGAAAGCAGCACACTGCCAGGAACTCTGGCTCAGCGTGTCGCCCCGCTAGTTCTGGCATCCACGTCCCACTCCCAAGCGTCAGTGTCCCAAGCCCGACGCCCGCCGCCGGGCTGGCATAGGCGGTGGGCCCCCTCCACCTCCCTCTCCCCCTCCTCCTCCTCCCTCCTCCCTCCTCCTCCTCCTCCTCCTCCTCCTCCTCCTCTCCTCCTCCTCCTCCCTCCTCCTCCTCCTCTCCTCCTCCTCCTCCTCCTCCTCCTCCTCCTCCTCCTCTCCTCCCCTCCCCCCTCCCCCCTCCCCCCTCCCCAAGATGGCGCGGCATCTTTGCGACGCCGATCTTGGACATGGTCCATGCCGGCCGTCGCTGCTTCGCGAGGCTGATCCACGAACTGGCGACTCCCAAGATCCACACCGACGTGTCAGCGTTCGGTCTTGGTCATGGCCACTGTTCCCTTTCCCTCTCATTTCCTGGAAGGCCCACGATGGGACTTGCTCAGCCCTGGCGGGTTTCCCCCGATGTCGGCCCCTCTGGAGGCCGTGCTCGGGCTCTGGGGTTGTTGATAAAACGGACCTGGGACGAAAAACGGGCCCCGGGGAAAGAGTCGGGGGCCTCATGGGGCTGCGCCTTCGGAAGTCTGGGGCCGGGCTCCCCGAATGCCACGGGCCAGAAGCAGTCGGGAGCCTCTCGAGACCGGGGGCAGTGCCAACGGGGGGTCGGCCAGAGCGTCGGATCTTGCAGGATCTCGCAGAGCCAGAGGTGCGTGGACCCGGGCTGGCGCGCAGGATCCTGCAGGATCTCCCAGACCCCCTCGCGCTGTGAAAAAAGCCCGAGACGGTAGGTGTTTCGCTACTTTCGGCCTCTGGGGGCCCTTGAAAGGGCCTCGGGACCGTCAAAAAACGACTCAGGATGAAAAACCGGTCCCGGGGAATGGGTCCGGCCGGACCCTCAGGACGCCAGAGACGGGGGCACAGCAAACGGGGGTACGGGGAACGCCGAGTTCCACGCTTGGCTATGCCCCCGTTCAGGGGGCCCTGGGCGCCGTGAACGGGGGTACAGTAAACGGCGGTTTCTGGGAAAGCCTAAGCCCCTGTTTAGCCAAACCCCCGCTCACGAAGCCCCGAGACCTCCAGGGGTCGCGCCATGGCAAAGTCATGACGTCGGGGGGTTTGGGCTTGCGCACCATGCTGCGGAGCCCGACCGGCCCGGGCCTGCGTTAGCCGGGGCCGGCGCGCCCCCCGGCAGAAGCTCGGCGGGGCGGCGGCCGCGCGACCCCGCACGAGGGGGGCATCGACTACAAAAGTGATTTAGTACCCCAGAATTGATCTGTTCGTCGACTGTCGAAAAGCACCAGAGTGCTCCGTGCATCGGTGCACCGCACCATACCTGCACAAACCGATCGTACAGCCGAGCAGAAAGTCCATCTGGGGGGAGTCAGCTCTGTATAGTCGATCCCCTATATGCTCGAGTCGGCGGCGGCGGCGCGCGGAGCGGGGCTCGTGCCCCGGCGGCTCGAGGCTCGCGCTTTTTTTTTTGCGGCCGCCCGTCCTGGGCCTCTCCGGGGGGGGGGGGGGCTCTCGCCGTGCACTCGCCCGCGGAGTCGCCGCGGAGCCCATGGTCCGAGCGTGTGCCCCCCCGAGGAGAGGTCCGGGGGCGGTGCCTTCAGGGCCGCCACACCAGCTGGGCGAGGGCGGGGGAGGGGCTTCTTCCAAGAAGGCGGGGCGGGGCCTCTTCCAGACCCCCTTCGAGTCATGAAAACATCCCGACTCCCGACGGGAGGGTTTTCGCCATTTTCGGCCTTTTGGGAGCCCTCACCGGGCCTCGGGAGCGTCAGCAAAAAGATTCAGGGAGAAGAACCGGTCCCGGGGAATGGGTCAAGACCTTTTGGGGTCGCGTCATGAAAAAATCATGACGTCGGGGGTCTGGGTACGGTGGGGGCCCATGTCAAGAAACACCTTGCTTGCCTCCAGGGTGCCCTTGGGGGGTTCTTGGGTGTCGAGGGTCTTGCTATGGAAGGCGTGACGCTCGCACGCCACAAATCGATGGACGCCCTGGGGTCTCAGGGCTGGGTTTCTTGTGGAAGGTTTCTTGTGGTCGGGCTCTCATTGCACGGTAGAGGGGATCGCCCCATGGGGAGCCACGCGCCTCGAGACGCAGCCCGTGCCCCTTCTCAGAGAAGGGCGCCCTCCCTCGCACTGCCCCCCATCTGCGCGCCGCCTAAGCCGGGCGTCTGCGGAGCGGAAGGCTCGAGCGAGATGGTGCAGAGTGGAAGGAATGGAGTGGTCTCCCTTCGCCCGAGTCTCGCTTCCCAGACAGGCTCGCTTCTTGCAAAAAGCAGGACGGGAGGGTCATGGCTGTTTGGGACCTCTGGGGACCTTACCGGGGCCCAGGGCCATCAACAGCAAAAGTCCGGAAAAAAAGTTGGTCCTGGAGAAACGGTCGGGCCTTCCGGGGGCCCCGCAATGAAAAACACAGGACATTGCATGTCTCGCTGTCTGCCCGCTTCAACAAATATCGTGCCCGCCCAACCCGTCCGCCAGGGCTCGCCCGACCCGCTCGACAGGGTCCGCCTGCCCGCCAGCATGCTTCAAGGTCGCCCCACCCGCTGTGGTGCCCCGCCCGCGCGGCGGCCGAACTAGGCAAGCTCCTGCGAAGCGAGGCCCAGGCAAGGCGAGCCCGTGCCAGAGGAAGAGGGGGCGGGGATGCGTAAGGCTTCGGGTTGCGCACGGACAGCCCACCCAGGTAGTCCGGGCTGGCCTCCTTAGCCTGGCGCCGCCTTGGGGGGGGGGGCTGCTTGTGCGCCACCCGCAGCCTTAGCAGGCGGGGAGAGCCAGGCTGTGCCGCGCCCGTGTTTCTTTTTCAAACGCCCGCCTCTCGGAGCTGGTGCGCCGTCGACAGGGTCTGCTATAGTGCCGCTCCCTCCCGTCCGCCTCCTCCTTCTCCTTCTCTTCCTCCTGCTACTCCTCCTCTCCTCCCCTCCTCCCCCATCCTCCTCATCATCACCACAACCATCACAGCGGTGGGATGCGCTGGAAGCGAATAATGGCACGACAGTGAAAGGGAAAGGAAGGCGAGAGGAGGAAGACGAGGCCCGCTCAGACCGTGAATGCCAGCGCGAGAGTGCCGAGGAGGAACATGCAGCTGCGTCCACGCAGGAGAGCCACCAGCTGGAGGTGGAAGACCTTGTAGGTGCGGAGGAACGCCAGGAACTCTGGGGACTGGGGATGGCGCATCAAAACTGCGGCCAGGCAAAACAGAGCAAGCAAAACGAAACTCAAACAAAAAAAACGATGAAGAGAAAACTGGACGGAGCCAGGACGACGAGATATATATATATATATATGTATATATATATATACATATATATATATATATATATCCTCCCCAGAGCGTTCCTGAACGCTCTCGGAGCCTTCCGGAACTCTCTGAGAAGGCCGCGGTAGCCCCGAGACATCCTCCAGCGCCGCCGGATCTCAGAGATTCTCGATTTATCCCCACCCGATGTGATCTTCGTGCTGGCTGGGGGTCGGCCGCGAAGAACTCCGCGCGCGCCAACCGCGCCCGCACCGTGGAGGCCGGCCGGGCACGAGCCTCTCGTGGTTGCGGCGGGCGCCGCTCGGCGGCGCCGCCGCCGAGAGGGAGGGGCGGGCAGAGGGGTCTATCGCTCCTCCTCCTCCTCCTCCTCCTCCTCCTCTCCTCCTCCTCCTCCTCCTCCTCCTCCTCCTCCTCCTCCTGCTCCTCCTGCCGCGCCTCCTCTCGCGCCGTTTGCTCCGACGCGCGCCCTTACGCCTCGGGGAGGGCGCCGCGGCCACCAGAGCAGAGGCCGCCGCGGGCGCAGGGCTCGCCGCGCCGTGTTTGCCGCGGAGCCGCTTGCTGCGTCTGCCCGGGAGCGCGGGGGGCGCAGGGTTCGCCGCGGGTTCGCCGTGGTGGCGGCGTCGTCCACGCGGGCGCGTCGCGAGCAGGCGGCGCGGCAACATCGGCGCGGATCGAGGTGGCTATAGGGGAACGGAGACTGACAGAAACATAACAGCACGGAGGTCCGCGCGGATTTCTCGGATCTGCGCTGGACCCTCATGGCGGCGCCTCCCGAGCCGCACCAGGCGCGCTCCGCGCGCCAGGGAGGGGGGGTCCAGCGCGGATCCGAGAGTTCCGCGCGGACCTCCAAGTTGTTATGTTTATGGCATTCTCCGTTCCCCTAAAAGTGGGTACGAAGATGGACAGAAGTGTCCGCCCATGGCGAACAGGGCTCGCCGTCAGCGTCGCGGTGGAGCTCGTGCGCGTGAGACGGACGGCCGGCTGCCCACCATCGGCCGCTCTCGGCTTTGGGGGCAGCACCTTCGTGCTGGCTGGGGAGCCGGCCGCGAAGAACTCCGCGCGCGCCAACCGCGCCCGCACCGTGGAGGCCGGCCGGGCACGAGCCTCTCGGGGTTGCGGCGGGCGCCGCTCGGCGACGCCGCCGCTGAGAGGGAGGTGCCGGCAGAGGGGTCTATCGCTCCTCCTCCTCCTCCTCCTCCTCCTCCTCCTCCTCCTCCTCCTCCTCCTCCTCCTCCTCCTCCTCCTCCTCCTCCTCCTCCTCCTCCTCCTCCTTGTGTGTCCGTCCCCACTGCGGGCGCGCAAGGACAAGAGGCAGGAGGCCGAGGCCGAGACCCAAGCCACCGTCGGGCGGGGACGGCGAGGGCCGCCACGGGCTCGGAGGGGCTCGAAGGGCCCCAAACGGGCGCGGTGGCCGCGCCGTGTGGCGAGCTTTGGTGAGGCTCCCGGGATGACTGCGCGGTTCTGGGACTCGGGTCCTTCTACGAGGACGTCTCGGGCGACTGGGGCTCCCAGGGTTCC